TTGAAGTGTAGGATTCTATGGAATCATCTAAAAGAAGTATTAATACCAGAGTGAAAGTGAGGTCAATACTTTCCATGTGATGAATCTCCAAGCACTTAGTATGATATTGAAGATATAGTAGGCATTCAAATAATTGGTGAATTGGAACACATCTAATGGAAAAGAAAGACTGGTTGGAGGATACGTTTTTGTATGGAACAGTACCTTTAAACATTATGTCTAAATATTTTTCTTAAGTCCCAAATCCATTTTCAGGGTTGCCACAAGGAGTATGCCATGGACCAGAAATGCAGAGAGCCTTGCTGTCAGAGAACAGTGTAAGGTCCATTAGGGCACACACAGTCAGGTTAAATAAGACACTTTATCATTTGGTCTCCCGTTTCATCTATTTTAAATTTATTCCAGTTTTTAATATTTTATGCTTTCTTTTCTATTTTGTTATTAGGGTTTTTTGTTTGTTTGCTTCTTATTTTTGCTTTGTATGTTTTTTCTGTATATGAAATCCAGGTAGGATTTGTAGAGACAGTAACTGGATTAATAAGTACCTGGCAGGGAAAAATTAAAAGAAAACCAAGTTACTACCATCAAGTCAGTGCCAACTTATAGCGACCCTGTAGGGGCAGGGTAGAACTGCCCTTGTTTCTGAGGCTGTAACTCTACGGGAGCCCTGAGGAGCAGGTGGTTTGGAACTGTGGGCCTTGAAGACCACAGCCCGACTTGTAACCATTATGCCACCAGGCTCCAATGGCAGGAGAGGTTGGGGGGAAATAGAGCGCTTAACAACCATGAATACAAGAAAGAAGAAAATGTTCCAAAATTGATTGTGGTGATGATTATACAATTCTTCTTAATATAAACTATTGTATGCTATGTGAATTATATGCCAATAAAAATCCATTTAAAATGTTTTTCTTTATAAATACCTTTCATGCTACTGTAGTAATTTCAGTGGACATGTAAGTTAATCAGTATCTAATATACACATCAACTACTAAAGCTAGTGATGAAGAATTGAAGCCTTCTACCAACTTCTTCATTCTGAAATTGATCAAACATGCCGTCAAGATACATTGATAATTATTGTCAATTGGTATGTAAAAATTGGAAACAAAAGTATAGGATTGGTAGTTGAACAATATGGCTGGAATGGTATTAGAAATGTGACTGGAGATTGTGTTAAGGAATTTTGCAAAATAAATTACTCGATCACTGCAAATACCTTTTTCAACCACAAATAGCAACTCTCAACAGATGAAATTCATATAAATCAGAATGACTATATTTTTGGGAAGAGGGGATAGAGGAGCTGAATATTAACAGTCAAAACAAGGCCGGTGGCCAGTGGTGGAACAGGTCATATACAAGTTCATATTGAAGTTAAAGACTATTTCAATAAGCTCAAAAGGGCCCAAATAAAATGTTAAGTACAACCCATCTGAATTTATAGACCATCTCAAGAACAGATTTTATATATTGAACAGTAGCATCTAAAACCAGCCCAGTTATGAGATGACAAAACGAGCATACAGGAAGAAACCAAATGCTCATCAAAAAGACGAAAGGGGTGAATGTGCAAAGAGACGGAAACTTGCTCTGAATATAGAGTAGCTAAAGCAAAGGAAAGAAATGATGAAGTAAGCAAGTTGAACAGAAAATTTCAAGAGGCAGTTCAAGAAGACAGAGTGAAGCATTATAATGTAATGTGTGAAGACCTGGAATGAGAAAATAAAAGGAGAACATGCTCAGCATATCTCAAGCTTAAAGAAGAAGAAAATTCAAGTCTTGGGTTGCAATACTGAAGGATTCTGGGGGCAAAATATTGAACCTTGTAGGAAGCATCGAAAGAAGATGGAAAGGAAAAAAAAGAAGATGGGAAGAATACACAGAGTCACTATACCAAAAAGCACTAGTCAACATTCAGTCATTTTAAGAGGTAGCATATGAACAAGAACCCATGGTGCTGAAGAAAGAAGTTTATGTTACACTGAAAGCATTAGCCAAAAAACAAAGCTCCTGGAATTGTGACATACCAATTGAAATATTTCAATAAGCTGACGAAGCTCTGGAAGAAATCACTTGAGTATGCCAAGAAATGTGGAAGACAGCTACTTAGCCAACTGACTAGAAGAAATTAATATTTGTGCTCATTCCAAAGAAAGGTGATCCAACCAAATATAGAAATTATTGAACAGTGTCACTAATATCACATGGAAGTAAAATTTTGCTAAAGATAATTCAAAAATGGCTAAGCAGTGCATTGACAGGGAGGTGGCAGCATGGTAGGTCCGTTTCAGAAGAGGATGCACAACAAGGGGTAGCATTGCTGAGTGCGATGGGTCATGGCTGACAACAGGGAATACTAGAGAGATGTGTACTTGTGTTACATTGACTATGCAAAGGCATAGATCATAGCAAACAGTGCATAACATTACTAAGATTGTGAAGTCCAGAACACTGGCTCATGCCCACAAAGACCAAGAGACCATCCTTCAAACAGAACAAGGGGATTGTATTAGTCTGGGTACTATAGAGAAACAAGTCTGCAGAAACTCAAGTATAAGAGAGAGTTTTATATAAAAGTTAAGTGCACAGCAAGAAAACATCCCAACCCAGTGCTACCCAAGCCCACAAGTCCAACATTAGCCCAAATGTCCAACACCAATCCACAAAGTCCTCCTCCATCTCACTAAACAGACCCAATGATGCTGACAGCAGGAGGAAAGCCGAGTCAGTGAATGTGTAAGCATCTCAGTGCTGGCAGGGGTCTCCACACGGCTGCTCCAGCACCCAGGGCTGCATTGGGGTAGGTCCATGTAGCTCCTCTGTGAACCTTGCCAGCTGAAGCAGGGAACTGGCTAAGGTAGCTGCACCCTGGTCCGACCATCACAAAACAAAAGACCCGGGAACTAAAAAGGCGAGGCTCACTGAGCCATTTATCTCTCCGCCCTTCAATTAACCCCACATGTGTTTAATCACCCAGGTTGGCAAAATAAACTTTAACTAACTTGGGGATACTACATGGTTTAAAACCAGGAAAGGTAGGTGTCAGAGTGTATCCTTTTGCTACACTTATTCAATCTATATGTTGAGCAAATAACCTGAGAAGCGGGGTGTTATGAAGAACAGTGCCTCAGGATCAGAGGAAGGCATATTAACAACCTTGCTTGCCAACAGGGAGGAGGACTTGAAACATTTGCTGAGGAAAACCGACTGTAGCCGTTAGTGTGGATTAACTCCATGTAAAGAAATCAAAACCCTCCCAGTGGGACCAGTAGACAGCATCATCATAATAGAAAAATGAATGAACCCATAATCTACACTCATGGAAGCACCTGTCACTAAATCAAATGACGTAATTAATTGAAATGGCCAAATATGCAGCACAAGGCCTCTTTTTTTTTTTTTTTTTCAAGGCCTCTTTAAAGTTTTAAAGAGCCAAGATGTCCAGTGTGCCTGAACAAGACCACGGTATTTTCATTGGCTTCGTAAGCATGTGAGAACTGGACAGTGAGTAAGGGAGGCTGGAGAAGGATTGTTGCATTTGAATTCGAGTGTTGATAAAGAATAGTAACACTATATTATTATATTACACTTGTATTAATGTATAACACTATATTAACACGTGGATTGCCAGAAGAACATCCAAGCCTGTCTTGGAGGAAGTACAGCCAGAATGCTCCTTAGAAGAAAAGATGGAGAGACTTTTATCTCGCATGCTTTGCGCATAACATCCGGAGAGACTGTTTCTTAGAAAAGGCCATCGTGCGGGTAAGGCCAGCTGAAAAGAGGAAGACCCTCAGGGAGATGGGTTGACACAGTGGCCGGAACAGTGGGTTTCAAATGTGTCCACAGGGTCACGACGAATTGGAATGGCCTCACTGGCGACTAAAAACAACTGCTACGTGGTAGGAGACCGCTGTGCCTCTTAAAGAGCTGTGTCCCACAGTGCTAGACACAGAGTAAATGTTCAGAAAGAACAACTTGCTTTTTAAAACTTGAGAATTTACTCAGTATTTTCTCCACCAAGACCAAGTCCAAACCCACTGCTGTCCAGTCAGTTCCGAAACATGCAACACTGTCTAGTGCTTTCCAGGCTGTAAGTCTGAGAAGAGCTGGCAGGCTCATTTTTCTTCTGAGGAGTGACTGGTGGGTTTGAGCCTCTGACCTTTGCGGTGGCAGTCCAGTGCTTACCTGACCGTGCTAATCTTCATTATCAAGAGCAGTTGTGAAAAATATGAAGATGTGAATAAAATGAATGTAGAATAATAGTAAGCACTTATTAACCAGGTGGAACTCTTGAGCAAGTCAAAGAAATGCACAGTTTCTGTAAATCTAAATTAAAAATGGGTTATAAACCTTAACTAGTAAACTAAGAACAAAGTTAATCTGCGGTTGGAGTTAGAACTGATGCTTATGGAAACTTAGAGCTTAGTGCTAAGTTCTGTCATAGTGACTAGCTGGGCTCCCCTGCATTTCACAGTAGGTCCAGAGACAGAGCTTCAAAGCCATCTGCTGGGCTATGAGAAGGGAAACAGGATGGTGGTACAGAAAAGGCGCTGGACTAGAAATAGTTATGCGTGAATACTGCGCGAGGGCAGAGGAAGAGGAGCTACTGGTGCCCGGAATGGAAAACTGAACAGGCATGCGATTCGTCCTCTACAGCTAATTTATGAACCATCAACAGGCAGTGTGGTCTCATTTATTGTCACCGTGTCCTGTTCATGACCACAGTCTATTTTTTAGGAACTTATACAATAACTTTCTGTTTTGTGAAATGAAATCACAAAGATGCCGAAGCCGTTTATATTTTAAGTTATGACTTAATTGGCCAGTCAAGAATTCGTAGTCCTTGTTAAGGTTTAGTGTGCCAATTATAAACTATATTGGAAACCAGGTGGAAATCATTCATTCAATAAGTAAAGTATCCAGAGGGCTACTTACATATTGTACTAGATAGTATTGACCCTTCAGCCTTTTTTCCGTTGTTGTTCCTTATCAAGGGTCAGCTGTATCTGTTGGTAACAGACCAAGGGTTTCTTACAGAAGAAAACGTCGTCTGGGAGAGCCTTCACAACGTGGCCGGTGACGGGGATTTCTGTGACTCGGCCTTTCACCTGAGGCCTCCTTCAGATCCGGAGACCGTCTATAGAGGGCAGCAAGATCAGATCGATCAGGTAAGTGTTTGTTCTCTTGAAACTGTTTAAAATGCTCATTCCTTTCAAGTCTACATTCAGTTACACAAAGCAGTTGACTTAAAGATGTATTTATTACTATTCCTGTGAAATTTCTCTTCAGTTTTACCTACATGGTCCACCTGCTGGCACTGCCTGTATAGATAAGTGATTATTGTGTGCGTGTATTAATTGTACACTTTGGCTCAAAAGGCCACATCATGTTAAATTGTACGGGAGGAAGGGGTTTCAGTTGTATTCTAATTGTAGTAGCAAAGCTAGGCTATGAGTTAAACATGGAAGGACTACCCTACCTTTTACAAAGGCTTCTGCGTGGAAAAGGAAAAGCCTTGGTGGCGCTGTGGAGTAAGCACTGGGCTGCTAACCTCAAGGTTGGTGATTCAAACTTAGCAGTTGCTCTGAGGGAAAACATGTGAAGCTGCGTGCTCCTGTGAAGATGTCCAGTCTCAGAAACCCCACCCAGGGTTGCTGTGTATTGGAATTGACTCGATGGCGATGGGTTTTGTGTGACTGTGTGGAGAGTGGGCAGGAAGGGCGCAGGGAAAAGTAGGGACCAGTGATGCAAGCAAGAGGCAGTGGTAGCTTAGCCTTGGTAGCAGAGATAAGAGATGAGAACTTATTTGAGATACGTTTTGACGAGTCAAAAAAGGTGAGGGAGTCAAATGTGGCATGTGCCGTGTGAAGAGTGGGGCACCGTAAGCATCCGAGTCCAGAGTAAGGAGGAGCAGATACTGTAGAAGCTGTGCTAGTCAACAGAATTTTCATATAAGCAGAAACCAATGAGATGTTTGCCGGCTCCATGGGAGCAGGATTGGACCTACAAGCCAGTATCCTACCAGAGTTGACAGTGATATGAATTCCACATCAGACAAGAATGTGATTGCTCAACAGTTGGCAAACGTTTGACTGATAATAACAATTACTTAGAGATTATATTCATCTATCTAATATTCATTAAGAAGTTGTATTCCTCACAGCATAACTAGATACTAGAAATCCAAAGATAATTCATTCCATCTTTTCTTCAAAGATTCTGCAGTCAGTGTAGCAGGGGCAGTGGACATTTTACCTAATATTATAAAAATAGTGTATATATTAAGTTCTACATTGATACAGTAACCAGCATTATGCGAGTACACAGAATACTTGATGCAAACAAATGCTGATCTTTCTTAACCTTCCTTTGAAAAAAGAGCCCTGCTAATCAACGTGCTCATTTTCTATCATCTAAGATATCACTCTCTAAAGACGATCACAGCAAAGAGAAAGAAACCAAAAGGAGTGAATTATCACACTAGTGGTTTTAAAATATTGGGGCCGGGGGCAGTGGACGGAAACCTGGTCCCATCAAGTTGATTCTAACCCGTGGCAATGCCCCATAGGGTTTTCTTGGCTGTAGTCTTTATGGAAGCAGATCACCAGGCCTTTGTTCCACAGTGCCGCTGGGTCGGTACAAACTACCAGCTTTTAGGTTAGTAGTTAAGTGTGCATGGTTTTCCCCGCCCAGGGACGTTTGGGAGGAGGACCAAACTAAACTCGCTGCCTTTGAGTGAATGCTGACTCAGAGTGACCCTGTAGGACAAGTAGAACTGCCCCTGTGAGTTTATGAGACTGTACTTCTTCACAAGAGTAGAAAGCCGCAACTTTCTCCTTCAAAGCAGCTGCTGGTTTCGAACTGCTGACCTTGCAGTTAGCAGCCCAACTTGTAACCACTATGCCACCAGGGCCTCTGTGGGAGGCGGAGAGGGGTGCCTAACTCACTGATTATATGATTACATAATGGGACACTATGTGGCTTTAAAGAATCATGTTTGGGGAACATTATTTCCAAATAGGGAAAGTCTTATGTGTTTTGTTGTGTTAGGATTTTTTTCCTAATAGGATGTAAGACAAGTGGGAAAGGAAAAAGATGATAAAGCAGTAGTTTCAAAGGGCGGAGGGAACATGTTTGAATGCATGTGTGAATGGAGGAAAATATTGTCAGTGATTATCTTTTTGGAATATTATAGTGATTGGTTTTAACTTTCTTTCTCATTTACACTTTCTGAATTTTGTACAGTGGACTGGGTTTCTTCTGCCAGCAGGAATTTTGTTTTCCCTTTCATGAATGGCATTTGTTTAGAAAGAATTTCAAATGAGTTCCAGAAATATTTGAGCAATGACATCACTAAAATAAGTTTATAGCTGAAATACGTTGATAGCTCCCCCAAAGAAATAGAAAAATAGCTTTCATTTTTATATTAAACCTCTGGTGCATTTAAAAAAACATCCTCTTAGCTTCAAAGATACAACCTCTGGTGTGACTCATTAGTTCTCATGGCTAATGGGGTTTTGATTTAATTTCTTAGGACTATCTGATGGCATTATCACTACAACAAGAACAGCAGAGCCAAGACATCAATTGGGAGCAAATCCCAGAAGGCATCAGTGACCTGGAACTAGCCAAACAGCTGCAAGAGGAAGAGGACAGAAGGGCTTCTCAGTATTACCAGGAACAGGAGCAAGCAGCTGCTGCTGCTGCTTCTACTTCTACACAGGCCCAGGTAAACCTAGTGTTCAATTTTTAAACACAAGGATCCCATTAGCAATAAAGACATTTCTGTTAACGTAAAATTTTAATTAGGCGTTGGCTCTCCAGTTATGTTACACTTAGCACCCCCATAGTTTTTATGACGTGGCCCTAAATTTTTTATTGTTTTAATAAGTTTCTCTTAATTTTAAATCTTACTGGCTTATCAGTCACATATCATACCATTCAGTAGTGTGATCATATCAAGTAGAGTTGTAGAATTACTCTAGTCAATGAAATTATTTTTCCTGACATTCTGATGAAAAGATACTTAAATTTTATTTTTCAAGTATTAATTGCACAGCAAAGAAAATAAGCGCAATCCGTTCTGTCAGCTAGAGGGGCAGTATTATTGTGGTTACACGCTTGGGAGCCGGGCGTGTAGATTTGCACATCCTGCCTGTCTTACTAGTTGCAGTTCCTCGGGAAGAGTTCTCCGCTATCTCTTTCCCGTCGGTGCACGAAAGGCTCGGTCCTGGTGAGGAACAAGTCATGGCAGCACCTAACCCCAAGTCTGGCATGCACTGGGGATTGAAGGTTGGCTAGCACCTTCCGCTTTGCCCGTTAAATGGTAACACCATCAGCACTCAATGTGTGTGGGGACCTCAACAAGCTCGTGGGGAAATTCCATGATCTTTTCATTCCATGTTCCTGTGAACTTTCTGTACATGTGAAATCTCATTTCCTGAAGTGGTACATGTATTTAACCCCCTTTTATATTTAACCATGCCGTGTTCGAAGCTTTCCTTCCTTCTAACTGGACACACAGAAAGCAACGTGCCCTTCACGGTCTGCTGAAACTTTCAATGTGGACATTCCCATTCAACTGTGCACAGAATTTCTGTTTCTAGCTAAAAAATTACCTCCCTGAAGCTTTATTTTAATAAAACCTTGAAGACTACCACAGTTTACAAAACGTGTCAATGCCTGTAGCATTTTCTAAATGTTAACAGTTTTAAGAGATATTTATCTTATATTTGAGCCGTATTATATTAATATTCCTAATATTCACTTTGCTGTTGTTGGATGGAAGCTCCGTTTAGTTAGAAGAACTGCCGTGTTTATATACCCTGAATGACAGAGTGCGTGTAGCATCATGCACCACTAGTGATTGCTGTGGCTCGTGCTGTTTGTCTTTCTACTTAACCATGCTGAAGCCCCCTGGGATCGCTGGAGCAACTTCTTGGGTATTTTTCTTAAAGCAGGGCCAGCCAGCACAAGCTTCTCCGTCCAGTGGGAGACAGTCTGGGACTACTGAACGTAAACGAAAGGAACCTCGAGAGAAAGAGAAAGAAAAGAATAGCTGTGTCGTTTTGTAACAAGTGTGGATTCTGCTGGAGCTACCTGTCTTGAGACACAAAACCACAGGAAGAACCCGATTAATACCGTCTGTGCCTGATTTCCCAATGGCTTTTGTCTGTGTTTTTCTGGGGGAAGGTTGCTACTTAGTTATAATCGGACTTTTCCAAGTCACAGAGTCCACTCTTTGTAAGCTGGAATTTCATGTTACAAGCTGGAGATGCCGTGTGTTGTCATTCATGAAGAATACTGCACGTGTAGCAAATGAGCGAATCACAGCACATTTTGTGTCGTGGTGGCATTCAGAACTCATCCTCAGTTAGTAAGCTATGTTGTCTTCTGTTCTGAAAATGACTGGAGGCAACTGATTTTGTCTGAGTACTTCCTGATAGCTAAATATTAGCACAATCGTTTTTTAACTTACTTTTCACAATGTTAAATTATGATCTAATCCACGAGAAACCAGGGGCTTACTCTAGGCATCTAACAAGGGGGAGCTATAAAACAATTGGACCTTGGACTAGTGTAGCCCTCGAGCAGCTTCGCCTTTCTTTAGGAATTCTTTAGGATTGTACATTTTCCATAGTATCTTGAGAATCGATAGTGGAAATTGGATTTAATGTAGATAGAAAAATAAGACTTTCGCATTTGTTTTCCAAAAGCAAAAAGTTACATAACACTAACACTCATATCGTAACAAAATCAGATATTAACAACTCTACAGTGTTGTGCAACGCTGAGGAATATTAAAGTCTTTACTGTGAGTAACTGGACTGTGGTTACTCTCTATTGGCATTATGGGAAGTGATAGGCAGGGGAAGCCACCGTGGATGCTAGGCTTTGTAAATATGGGGAAACTAGAAAACCAGATAATTCGGTGTCCGCCTTTTTGTAGAACTACCTTGAATCTTAAATTTTAAATCATGTTTATTTGCTAAAAAACTAAGTATACTTATTAAAACCAACTAAAAAGCACATTTCTGAAAGGAAGTTAGACTGAAACTCTTAATGAAAAGGCATTGATAAACTTGTTTGAGAGTAGATAAGAATTTGAATGAATTAATGTTAAAGCAATCAGATTTTTAATGTGTGAGAACCAAATAATTCTATAACATCTTATAGGCTTTATAGAATTCAGAAAGAATATTTATTGAACTTTATTATGAAGATACACATATTTTCCTGTATTTCTAGATATAGTTTAAAAAACAATCCTCAGTAGTCTTTTTGATATACTTTATATTTAAAAGTTTACTTTAGCCAATCTTTAAAAGACTACTCTGCAAGTAGTGTGCTTTACGTTCTAAGCTATGGTAGGATTTGCTTACTTAAGAGCCTCAGAATTTGACTGAGCATCCACTTGGGGAAGGTCTTTTGCGGTCTGAGGCGACAATAGACTACCAGACACTGTGGTCTAGATTGTTGAAACTATGTCCTAACTCTTTCCATGATTCATGACCAGTTATAGGTTGAGTCTGTGTGTGTGTATATATATATATTATATAATAAAGTCTTATTTATAGAAAGAATTATTCTATGGGAGAAATCCAGGGTCAAGCTGTGTATCTATCATGTCCAATGTATGTCAGTTTATGTTACACAATTTGTTGTTATTTCCTATGTTAGCATGGTAAATCATCAAGGAACTGATTTGGGGTATAAATCCTTGAAACAAACTATTTGCTCTGTCTCTTAATAGCAACGCAAGATATGTGTACTTTGGCAAAGTCATCAGAGTGCCACAGATTTCCCTGTTACTTCCAACAAATGGACGGGAATCAAAGGTTCCCTCTTGTGAGCAGGTCAAGGTGGGAGGGGACATGGAGTTCAGGGTTGATCTGTTCTAGAGCAGATAGCCATGACGGTGCATTATAGTAATAAGGAAAAGCAGATCATAAACTCAGAAATTTTTTAAAGTATATTTGAAGCATATTTTCCATACTTATATACTTAACTATTTATTGCCCTTGAAAAATTTATGTAGAGGTTATTCTTTTGTTAATAGTTGCTATCATAATTTGTTCCAAAGATAATACTGCCATTCCACATTCCCTCTGGAAGGAAAACAAACAAACAAACAAACAAACAAAAACCTCACGTAAAACCAGCAGTGCTATCAGACAAGTAGATTTCAATGTATACTTATATGAAAAAGTGAAAAACGTATTTGTTAATTCAATCTTTTTCTATATACTCTTTCAAAGTGAGACTTTCTTACATTCCTGCAATTTAGTTTGATATACCAAGGGTAATAAAATTTTAAATGTTCACTTTGATTACTGTGGGAGAACGATGAAATGTTCGATTCTATTAAAACAAACTTTTCCAGAGATACTGATTTCCCATTCTTGAGGGTCATAGAGACTTGGGGTGAATGTGTCTTGATTTCCTTGTACTCTGCTCAAGGTCACAAGTGACGGTGGAGACGGTTCATTGCTGGGGGAGTGTCGTGGGCTCTGGCCGTGCCATCGAGCAGTGAGTCCTTCACAGTATTTTGTAGTACTTGAAAATCATCACATGGACGTTGCTAGCAGAAGTTAGAAATCAAACATTTTTTATTTTTAATATTTGTAGGCTAGGTTTTAGGCATATTTGCATTAACCAAATCACCACTGAATTGGCAAAAGAGGCAGATGAATGTGTGGATGTGGTCACTGTACTTTTACTTGCAAAGCGTATCTTTAAGGTCAGCCCTGATTAACTGTGTAAACGCTCTTCATGCCTCATCCTTTTACAATGGCAGTGCTGTGATTTAAAGCACGTTGTCAACACTTTAAAATACTCTGTGTATGTGGGGGGGCAAGTTTCTTGGCTTTCATTAGATTCTCAAAGGGATCTAAGAACCTTTCAAATTTAAGAACACACACTATCAGTTTGAGGCAACTAAATTGTAATTGGCTGCTTTCTTTTTTTATATAAATAATC